GGCGAGCCACACTCCGAGGAGCTGGCCGGTTCCACGACACCACCCGACGACGATGATGTGTTCGTGTGGTGATGGTGATGATGATGATGGTGATGGTGATGGTGGTGAGGATAATGGTAGGAGGTTAGAGTCTCCTGGCTGGATAAAACGATCCTTTGTCGTTTGCTTTGCAGGGAATTCGACGATGGCGAGGGCGAATCTCGGAGATCCGGCTCGCTGGTAGTCGCCGGCGACGAACAGCCGGACGACTCGCAGTCACCTCCCCTCTGATGAGGGTAACACTCCTCGATATCGACGGGGGTGGTAGGACCTTCTTCACCGACGGCTACCTCGCCACCGGGACCACCGGTCACCGACGAGGTCGTATCCTCTTCCTCCTCGTTGGCGCCTGCCACTGTACCCGTACCGCCCCCGCCCTCCGATAGCTTCGTTGGTGGTGACTTCCTCTTTGAGGACATCCTCAGTCTGCAACGAAAAACGAAAACACAAATGGTTAGCTCTTTGATCCTTCGCATCGATGTAATTTTGTAAAGAAGCCCCCCGAAGAAACGATCGAATCTAATTATCTGAATGTAAACTCCTGCTATGTGGAAAATCATAGCGAGAAGAATCAGTGAACTTCTGCTATATATAAACTCCAGTTACTTATAAATCGTTTATCTTCTAATGAATTTAGATAAATGGAATTCTATCGCAGTCAGGCGATCAATGCGCTTGTACGGCGATGTTCTCCGATGATAGGAATTCTGTGTCGGATTTAGCTCTGTGACACGATATAATAACAAGTTAATTGCTATATACATATATTATAACACATTGATATTCAATAACTCGAACAATCCAGTATCATAATTAAAAAAGTGATATATTTTTTAACCTAATCCGATGACGAGGAATTGTATATTCCTTACTCATTATTCGAGATGCTTCTGTGTCGCATAATTGCTACGTGTTATATATACGGAAAGGTATGAACGATATCGACACTTCATTTTTTGTCTCTTCTTCTATCACGTGGCACGATTAGTACTTTGTTTCCTCGTGTCACATATGATGTTGCATAACGTCTACAAAGTAGCAAGTGTGTCGCGCAATGATCGGAATTATCTCCGTCGGCGTTAAATGAGTACTCATGAATCTAATTATAATTCATAATGTAACGCGTTGACACGTGTCACGGTTAATGCTACTATGCCGTCGATAGACGATCGCGAGCCTATTCTTCATTGGTGATTCAATAGGAGAGGAGAAGAACACTGCCTTTGCGACTAAATTGCAAATCAATTGATCTTTGTCTTCACGCTTATAGCAACAATGTTGAAACTAGTAACAAAAAAATTACTCTGACGTCTTTCACATTACCAGTCACTGTTTCATATCCCTTAAAATAGCTAGCAAGACTGTCAATAAGTAATTTTCATAGTCATCAGAATATTACGCGGCATAAGAGGTTTTACTCAAAATTCTTTCTCTTCTTTCTAAATATTAATAAGAAACTTTGATCGTAGTAAGTCATTTAAGGAATATTAACTTAAATCTCCCTAACATTCCATCTCCAATTATCTATGCATCTTCCTCTGTCATTTCTCAAATCTAATTTAAAGATACGTGGTTACAATATTTATTTTTCGTATAAAAAGATTAGTCAAAAAATGTACAATTAATTCCATGAACGGAATATCAAACGGAACAAGATATCATTTTAAAAATAATTTTACAGAATCTCAAATTCTCATCCATCATTGCAAACTTTCGTTTCTTAGTCTCAACCACAATTTTAGGATCAATAATCCTTTCGTGTATTAATGAATAAATAATAAATAATAGTAAAATATTAACGAATAAACCAAGAAATATATATCATCGTTCCAAAAACAATTATACCAACATCTCGCACCCTATTACCAATCCATCCTTCTAACCCATCCTCTGAACTCAATTCAAGGACAGACAGATATACACCAACTTCAGGCAAGCAGTAGAAATCTCGAGATCGCCTCCTTACACCTATTCACCGAATACATCGTCTAAACTCTATCTGTCACTAATTTAGCAACGGACTCTAGTCCAGACTAGTCCACCAATTTCCGTCTCCAAATTACCAAATCTAAATCTAAATCTCGCGATCGATCGGACCCGGCCGAGAGTTCGTGATGCTTCGTAGAGAATTACATAATCGAACATAAGGCGCAATAATCGAGCGTGATTATTAAGCGTGGATTATTGTTGTGTACGCGTGTTGTAACACGGTCTATCCATCAATCGGCGCGCCTGCGGGCGGGGGAAATGGTCGGCAGATTATCTTCGGCTTCTGGTGAAGACGAGCGAAGGTTGCGAGGTCAACTCAACGATCCGGTACTTCTTTCAGCTCCAAAATCATCCGACGAACCGATATTCCGAAATCGGATGTTCTTCTATTGAAATCGATCATTCTTTTCGAGAAATTTGATCGAATCGACTGTTGCTTGATTTTGATTTCAGAACACGATAAATATTTTTAATATTTGCCGTCGATTATTCTTACTGTCACCCTTGATGTTTATATTTGACCGAATCGCGTTCTTTTCTTGACAAAACTATCTGTTTCCTTAGAAAAATGAGTCATTAGTATAAAGTTCAGGTTTTACGCCAATTAATCTTTAGTCTAAGGATAACAACTTTTATTTTTTCCATAATTAGAAAATTGTTCTTTTTATCTTCGAATCAGGCCTCATTTGACAGTAAAATTAGTTCTCCTCACTCTTATACTTAATTAGAAATAGGAAAATTGTTCTATTAGATTCTATTAGATTTAATTTCTTTCGGAATCTTTCTTTTTTCTTGTAGTAGAAGAAACGATATTCAATAAATACCGTGAACAATTAATTCAGAGGAAGAATTGAATCATTCACGGCAATCACCAGAAAGAGATTTTTTCGATTCCCATTGTTTTCCTGGTTATTATTCCTGGTAAACTGGAATGTTTGTGTTTCATAATATAAAGGAATAACGTACATTATATACGTTAGTTCCAGAAGGAATATTTCGTAGAACTATTTCTGTAAACGTCAGAATTTTTAGTGCGTATTACTTTAATCTAAAGATGAATCGAATTGAAATCAGATTCCATCGAAATACAATGATCGTGAGGTAATATACGTAACGTATATTTATTCTCTTCTTAGAAGGAAAATATTACACTTTAGTTCTAGGGTAATTAACAAATAGAATAGTTTCTGAGAGCAGAATTAATTTCACTTATGAAATAGACAAACCGATATCTATCGACTTATGAATCACATCGCTGTTTCCATCTTTCGTCCAGGGAAATAATATACAATTATCTGATTCTGAGAAGCAGTCACGGTTTAAATGTTACGAGCTTGTTCAATCCGGAAATGGGATGATACTTCAGATCGGATCAGTTTCTTAAGCTAAAAAAAAACTACAAATTAGATAATTATACAATTAATTGTGCTCCATCATTGTTTTTTACGAGGAAACAAAGTAGTTTTCCTGTTTTACAAACAGAAATATGTACCCACCTCGTGCAGACGAACAAAGCGTAAACGTTTATTAATTGAACGTTGTGGGTATCTCATGTTAGACCGATCTTCCAAGTAAAAATCATCAAATTGTCAAGTTTTGTCAATTATTGATAAATCCTCAAGTCGATAATTACCTACAGAACGATGTTTATAGAAGAAATCTTATTTCTCCAATTTCGGACAACCCCTGTACGATTCTATTTCTCTAGCGTTCTCCAATTTCTTCAACACGACGATAACGTTCTATCCATCGACATCTGGACGCGTCGATGAATTTCACATAACTTTCTTCCTCGTCATATGTGAGTAAGAGACTAGTTTTTTCGTTGCTGGTCGCGAGAAACGCGTAAGCTACACGTGCACGAATGCACGCGCGCGTCTCTTCGATGATTGGGTGCGGTGAACACGTGCTTCTTCGCGAGAAGCAGCATGTGGTACGCTCGTAGCTCGCCCGAAAAATCTGGATTTCAATAAAGCAGTATAGTTCTTCACCGATGAATCGACCATGCGTGAAAGAATTGTGGCTGGAGTAGCATGTTGTTAAAATAGAGGAATTTTATGAAAAAGTATCTTTCATATAAAACATCAATAAATATTGATAATACCCACAGTAGGATAATATAAACGTATAAAATAGGGATAATTATTTATGCTCTGAATTTTCACTTCAATTGCTTGATCCAAAAGTCAATAGTCTTGCGTGATGAATTTAGGATGAGCAGACTATGGTCAAAAGTCCATAGGGTGTCCTCGTTGATCCCGGACTCGAGATAATCGCGGTATAGATGCCGAATTTCTTCTCCGTTTGTATTCGTATACTTTTACGGCGTTTGACATAAGAAAGGAGCTATTTTCACGCAGATTATACGTTTTAACTGTTAGTGTTTAACATCTAAATATTCTCGGTACGAACCGAACGGCCATTCTTATTCGTCAGCGTGTACTGTCGAGAGCCAGATTTTTTAAAGTGAAGAATCGATTGCGTAAGCCGTAAGCAACCATATTCGTAGCTCGAGTGTCCTTCGTCTTAGCCTTTGCCTCTTCAGATAAGATACGTAGCAAAAGACGTAGTACTACGTCAGAGACATTGGCCGAAATTTAAAGACGCGTTATTACGTCCGGGACTTTCAACTTTTACGGAAGGAATGGTTGATCGACGTCATCTATTCGTGGGAAAAGCTTCGTCAATTAGCAAAAGTTCATTCATGGGTAAGTGTTAGAGTTCAATTTAATTGATCGTAATCGTAAAATATAACTGAATAAAAAATCTAACAATTTTATTTGATGACGAACGAAAAGTTATTAATCATCGAGTAGGAAATTACTTTATCGAGTCGAGTAATTACTTATCCTTAACAGTTTACGTACAAATTTTGTTCTCTTGAAACTAAAATTTCTAGAGAATAGGATCCGTATCTTTGAAGAAGAATAAAATGGAAAAAGAAAAAAGGCACGGAGTTTTGACACAGAAACTTTGCGTCTTTTGGTTAAAAGAGGCAACCAAGTTTTAGTCGGTTAATTAAAAGGAGAAACCGAGTAATTTGAACAGGCTTGTGTAAAGCTAAACTCTTTAACCCGCGGAACAGCTCAAAGTCCAGCAACGACGCTTTGAAAAAAGAAAAAAATTTCATTGCACTAAAAAGTGCGAGTAGGCTGTTCAATGTTTTAAATTGGATGCAACGTAAGATAGAAAGCGTAGCAAAATCAATGCTTCTATTTATATCGAGTCGGTCTTTGCCTGCACCAAAACTCTTTCAGCCGGAAGAGGATCTTATCGTCAATAAATTATCACTTTCATTAACTATCTAAACAATTTTATAAAACAAGATACACAGAAAATGTCTATTACAAATTTATAGAAGTCAAGGCGTATGAACTCGTTAGTAAGAATGCTTCGATTCAACGGCAAATACTCTAATCGCGTAGGTTATCTCGTTA